CATTACATTACTACATTTATTACTATTATGGTTAACATTGGCATTATCACTACTAATTACCAATATCGTTATTGTTACAATTTTAATTAAAATTACCATAACCATTACAATTACGAAAACGATTACCATTACCATAACCATTACCCGTTACCATTACTATTAGCAATATATATCGTAACCGTTACTATTACCATTACCATTACAATTATCCTTACCATTACCATTATCGTTTTAAATACGTTTAAAATAACCATTGCCAATACTTTTACCATTGATATCAACATAACATTACCATTACTGCCATTACCCTATTAAGTGTGCGAAATTCATTCTCCAATATATTTTTTATTTATGTTCTGTGCTAAAACACACCACTTCCCTCCTTTAACTCCAATCGAAACATTGCATAATGTAATGCCAAATATGCCATTTTCCTTGCCACTCACCGTAACAATTGCACGCCTGTCATTGCATTTATTAAGGTGCTGTGCTCGCTGATCATAAACGGTGCTACTCGTACTTGGCATTCTTTGTACGAGTATGCATATGCGAAGCTGCCGTTCTACTCAAGGTCGACACCATATCCAGCTATGGTGAGAAATGACCTTAAGCCATTTAGATCAATGCAGCATCTATGCAGAACTCGTGCTATTTCCTACATTTCCAGGAATGAGACTGGTCTAGTATTTAACATCAATATGCCCTAGGAAAATTGAATTCTTCTTCGTTTGTCACTTCAAGTTTCCAGGTGTCTTTAAAAGGTTTCTTTTTTTTGGTTTATGATTGAATCTACTGTACGCTAACAATAGGGTTGCCAACCGTACTATAATAATATATAGTATTGTACTATTTTTTGTTTCTGCGTACTATATACTGTTGGAAAAAAAATATAGTATGCAAAAATACTATATTTCTGCAAATGTAAATATAAATATATTTCAGTCATTTGTAAGAAAGAAATGTTTTACTAAAAAAAAAAAAATACTATATATATATTTGAAGTGTACTATATTTTTCCATATTTTTTTGAAAAAGTACTATAAAATTCTTACAAAATGTTGGCAACCCTAGCTAATAAGTGTTGCTATCGACACGGCAAAGTAATTTTGAATTTCATTTCCAAAGTGCACATTTCGTTTCTCTTAATTAAATAAAAAATGTTTTGAATTCTATGTTTTTTCAAAATCTTTATTTTTTTATTTTTGTGTTATACCCAATGCGTAATGTTATAATTAACAAATGTTGTATACTAAATAGCAATTATATTTTTTTTTTTTGCATTTCTAATAATAGTTTATTCATAACTGTATGCATGTACATACGCAAATATAAAATATTCTGATTCAAATTGAATTTAAAAATATTTCGTTCGATCAGCGCTTTTTCGATCCTATTATTTAATATGCGTATACAATGCAACTCTTATATTTTTCTAAGTTTTTTTATCCATATTGAATTATTTATTCTACTTCTATATATGTAAGGTATATTTATATACTATTCATTACTCATTTTCTCTTTGCAACACTTACTAACAAATATCACATACATACATAGTGTGTAATTCTTTCTAAGAAAAAAATGTACAAGAGAAATTTTCGCATGCCATACATATACAAATGTTATGAAGTTTTTCCATTTCCATATTTGTAGATTCGTTAAAAATATAGACTTAACTTTAATAATTTTATATGCTTGGAAGATAAAGTTGACCATAGTAACAGCTAATATTTTTAGTTTTCTTAGACATTTGAGTAGTTACGTTCTTAAAAATGTTTAAGCGGCTTTTGGCTTACGACCAAATCTTCTACATGAATGTCACCCAATAGTTAGCTCTTCACAAATATTGGCTCATAAAGTTATTTGAACCCTTGATGGTAAGACAGAAGTACCTCGGCCGAAAATATATCTCACGCACGACAAGTAAAACTATCGAGCCGCTAGACACAAGGGTAACGCTCGCTCTAAGCAGCCACTGTCCAGTGGTTTCTGGACAGTTTCTGTCTAATGAACTGTTGAATTATTGTATCGCAGCGGCTTGCCAGAGCTTGTGCTGGTAGTGAAAAGGAAATCACTGTCAGGAATATCGGCCTGGCACCAGGATCAGTGAAGGTCTTGAGTGCTAGAGCCAGTCCGGGAACTAAGAGAGATAATAATTTTCGAGAATCTCTCCAGCTGCAGAAATGAAAATCTCTGTTTTGTTCTTGTATGCTACAGCCAGTCTAATCTTTGGTACAAGAAGGTTAGCTTCGGAGGAAATACCGAGTGTCGTGATAGTTTTTGTATCCCTGATTAATGTTTGCATGCTAGAGCTTGTTCGGATTCTATTGGGTGTGAACGTTTAGCCACTGGTGAGAAAACCTGAGTTACGGAAATCTAGTCAGGCTCTAGATGGTATCATGGTTTTGTCTTGAGTACTTCGGGCCGGGACCTTTCGGGTATCGCTGATTAACTGCAGACGAGCCACAATGCAGAAACATTTCTTCAAAGTTTATTAGTCATAGCCGTTCGATCGAAACAAAAAATATAGAAAAAGAAAAATAAAAGGCTTTGTGAAAGCTTTCTTTCAGTTTTTTTTACTACAGATAAGTTAATACTATAGGTATACTTCTGTTCTTATACTAACCCATGATTTTATTTAATTAGACGATGCGGTTACACGCAGAAAGCAGTAACTCGATTTTAATTAACGTTTTATACTTCATTTTTATGCTTTCCGTTTTGGCTTTGGGGAGTTTCGAGGCTTTTTCAAAAAAAAAAAACTTCTTTCAAATTAATTATTTTACTTTTGTAAATTTAAACTCGTTGTCTTGATAAGTACTGATATAATTTTATACAAAAAAATGCCACATTAGCTTAAAATTTTCCATCCCATAACAAACAAATAAACCTTATTCATAAAAAATAAAGTCGGTTTAAAGAGCTTTATAAAGTGACGTTTTCATACATTTTTCAATTTGTAAACCTTTTTTTGAAGCTACTTTATTTTTTATGAATATGGCTGTAAATTTTTTCCATTTTTGTATGAAAATTATATTTTATGTTTTAATAAAGCAAAAATTGTACTTAAATTACATTAAATTTTAACTAAAAACTACTACTTAGACTAACTAACTACAACATATGTATGTATCAACTATACTAATAATAAAGTATTAAAACTTAAAAGTTTTACTAAAATTAAGACAAACTAAAAAAATGTTCAATACTTTTTGTTAAGATTTAATTTTATCTATCAAATATGAGCGCAAGATTTTTTTTTTACGTGAATGCATATGTCTATGTATCGCGTTTTTGTGGGAAGAGTGTCATATTCCAAAAGAAAATTGTTGAGTTAAGAATTCAGAGATATACTTTAGCTTTATGTTGCGAAAACTATTATTAAACAAAAAATTTCTTCTTGGCAAAATTTTTTCCATTTTCTCTGTGTTTAGCCGTCATAGAGAGCAAACAATAACTCTTAGACCAAAGCTCGGCTACCTACATACATAAGTCTCTACAAGTTCATCCTACGGAATAGTTTCTACGATTTTGGTAATATTTTATAGCAATTATTCATTTTTTTTTTATTCAAAACACAGTTATTTACCGCAAATTTAAAAGTTGCTGTTTTGAATTTTCCACCTTTCAAAATATGCCATTCTTCCCATAAAGTCGCGCTATTTGTTTTATATACTTAATTATGTAAAGTTAATGAATTTTTATGTTGACAAACTTAAACTTTTTTACTTGAAAAGAAATAAAAATTGAGATCTTCGTCTACAAAAGCGAATAAAGGTTTGGATGTCAAGAATAAAGAAAAAAATAAGAAATATTTTAAGAAACACAGTGAATTCATGTATGTAAATTTATGTATAAGCAACTTGAGCACTTTTAAGAACAGCTTTAAAAAAAAGCTTCACTTAAATTAACGGCAACAAGTAAGAAAGTCTAAGTTCGGGCGGAGCCGAACATTAAATACCCGGCGCAATTATTAAATATACGTTTTCCACCTTTCCGAAAGCTACCGCTACACGATAAGCCGGGGTGTATAAATTTTAAGTAAATTAGCGTCCTTAAATTTCGAAATATTGCAGTTTCAAGCATTTCTGAAATATACCGTTATATGAAAAGCGGTCGTAATTTTAGTCCGATTTCAATAATTTTCAACGCTTTGCTTTTATGTGGCAAGCACAATAACCATACCGAGTTTGGTTCAAATTGCTAGAACGGTTAGCGAGATACATATATGTGATCATAAGTGGGCGGTGCCACGCCCATTTTCCAAAATTGTATCATAAGCGTATTTCTTGGTAAAAAATTGTTGCAACCATCAATTTTGAATAAATTAGCTTTAATATTTACTGATTTATCGGGGATTTCGTATTTTTCTAAATTACCGTTATATGGGATGTGGGCGTGGTTATTGTCCGATTTTAAAAATTTTCGGCCATTTGGTATGTTGTAGCAGGACCAACAACTGTGCCAAGTTTGGAAGAAATTGGTGCAGCGGTTACCAAGATATACACATGTAACCATAAGTAGGCGTGGCTACGCCCATTTGCCACAATTTTTTAATATTCTTATTTTTCGTCTAAAACTCATTGCAAATATCAATTTTGAGTGAATTATCTTCAGTAGTTACTAAAATATTGCAGTTTTTGTATTTCTGAAAATTACCGTTATATGAGAGGTAGGCGTGGTTATTGTCTGATTTCGCCCATTTTCAATACCATCCGTCCTATGCCCAAAAGAAGTCCACGTACCAAGTTTCGTTACGATATCTCAATTTTTACTCGAGTTATCGTGTGCACAGACGGACAGACGGATGGACGGACGGACGGACGGACGGACGGACGGACGGACAGACAGTCACCGCTTAATCGATTTCTCTTTTCATTCTGATCATTTATGTATACATTTGTCTATATCTATCTCGATTCGTTTTGCCTGTTACAAACAACCGTTATGTGAACAAAGTTATAATACCCTTGTGCACAAGTGCGCTCGGGTATAAAAATTTTTACCAACAAACATTTTGTGTTAAATGGCATTCAAGGCCGCAGTATTTTCTACGCAACATCTAACACTGACTCAATTCGGTTGGAAAGTAGTTGAAGAGTCAGAAACTGTTTAAAGACTTTGAGACGCTGCAGGTGGGTAAAACTTATATTTCGCCCAAAATCAGAAGGTTTAGCTAAGTAAGTATTTGCTTTAATTGGTGCGTGTGCAAGGTGATGTAGACCGGCGCTACGGAATTGGGCACTAACAGGATCGTCAAGAGGGGAAGTCAGCAGGGTTAATTGAACCAGGCCCGGCTAAATGTCGGGGGCCCGGCGAAGGAATTAAAATAGGAAATAAATTGAGAAGATTTTGCAAAATGACAAAACATGTAATACAAACATTTAATTGAACGGAAAGAGGGGGTTTCTGATTTTCTTAAATTGGCATAATAGTCTCCCTAGTTCATTGTAGCTTTTTTTTTTTGGGAAGACAATACCAACAAACAGTGGTAAAGGCAGGTTTTGGACGCCCTGAACTGTGCTCATATTCCACCGACTCCCTGTCATGCGTGAATTCTCGGCTCTAACGTTTGGTGGGGGCAAATGCAGGTCCAGACCTCTCCAGGCACTGTAAACATCTCTTCAAGCATTTCTGGCGGCGTTTTGTTCTTCTTTGTGAGAGATTTTACGATAGCTCTGTACTCCAATTTCGCACAATACGCGGATGACTCACACAAGGTGGTGTTTACGGCTCACTTACTGAAAGCGTAATGATGTAAGTGACTGGAAATTCGGTACTACCCAGAATATTGGCTATTACTTACATTTCTACGTAAGCTAACCGTCCTTCAACAGTTTCTCAAAAAAGTGCTCAAAGTTCATATGTTTTTAAAATGATTTTCAATGAAGTGATAGAGAAATCTATTTGCGTTAAGAATTAAAAGTAAAACCCTATACAATTAAAAAAAGCTTACACCTTGGCCAACATTTGACAACTTCTCTAAACTTTAAATCTTTTTTTTTTCCGTATGGTTTTTGTATGGCACCGATATACAAAAACCACATTTTCTTACATCTAACTGTGGAAAAATTTGTTCACCCAATGTGTGTTACACATCTTTCGCTCTCCTTGGCATACACAAACACAAAATACTTCATCATATACTACATATTCCTCCGTAAAACGAACGTTGACTAAACGTACGCATTTGTTGCCTTAATATTACACGACATCTTATTGAAATTGTCATCGATGTGTGAAACCGGCCGATAGGAGCGTTGCTTCAAACGCAATTGAATGATCCAAGCTATCAAAACCGCAATGAAGGCGACTAAAATGCCAATGACAATGTAAATCATCCAATGCTTACAGGACTCTGAAACTACTTGAACTTCGGGCAAAATCTCTTCGGGATATAGCTGGAAGGTGGCTGGCGCATCATGGCGTACAGACACAACTGGCGGGCAAGCGGTGGCTATGGCAGGCTCACTGGCAAGAGCAGCGACTGCATGTGTTGGTGCGGCGGTAGTAGGTGAAAGAGGCAAGTACTCGGCAGGTGCGTAGGTGGACGACATTGAGTGTACGTGCCCAGCTGGACTGGCTGTGACGGCAGCACTGGCGGAAGTTGAACTGCTGCTGCTGATGCTGCTGCTGCTTGTTTTGCTGCCTTCTGTAGCTTTCGTAGTGGTTTGCAACTGCTTATCCCCTTCCAGCTCATCGTCCTCATCGAAGGGTATATCCGGCAATGTGTCAATCTCATTTTCAGCGCTATAGTCACTGCCATGTGGCACATTATCCAGCACGCTTAGCTCTTCTCCAACATCTTCATCGTAACGACGCGCCACGCTGCCATATTTGTCACTGCCGCTACGGCTGCTGCTCAATACCTCATCCGGCATGGGCGCACAATCGGGCCAACAAATGGGGCAACAGCCATCCTTTAGCGTCACCTGACGTTCGCGTGGACAATTAATGTTGCTGCAGAAGGGTAACACACACTTTTCAATGCCATCGACGCATTCGCATTCATAGCAACCGACGCGCCAACTCTCGCCATGCTCGAAGAAAACATTCAACTTTTCGGGCTTGCAGATTGCTTTTGTTTTGTTGACGGCCTCGTCGCAGATTTGAATGCACATGGGCTTGCCGGAGAAGCAGTGGCAACGTTGACAGCCTTTCAGCCAATATAGCTCACTATCGACTCCTGCCGTGCAATTAGGCTTGCGTTGGCATTCATATTCGCCGCAACAATGGCCGGGTTTGTTCATTGACTCGGGCTGTAGCTCGACCACCACTTCATCCTCGCCATGACAGTCGGGTATGTGGCAAGTTTTGCAGAGGCACTTCTTCGCCAGGCAGCATTCTGCATAGATTTCTTCATCGATTTCGGTGGTGTTGTAGGGCGCTTCGTCGGTAACATCAGGCGCTACGGTAAGCGGATTTATTTCGATGGTGTTGAGAATTTCGCGTATGCTGCTGTCCAGTGGGCAGATCATGTCGGACATGGGCGGACATTTCACATTGTAGCAGAGGTGCGGTATGGTGTCGGCTGTAAAGATGAAGAAAAAAATACGAGGACAGGGTAAGTAAAAGTCAAGTTAGTTGTTAAAAAAAGTATGTTATGTAGAAATACAGCTGGATTAAATATACTGTATACTTTTAAATTCCCTAGATCCTATTAATCTTAGTTTAAAATAAGATTAAATTAGCTTAATTTAAGATTAATTAAAAAATGGTAAAATGTCCTGGTATGACGATTTATTTATGTACCTTCTCCGATCCCCCTGATTCACCAAAGAAGTGTATCCCAAAAAATCTGAGGAGATCTCTTCAACCGTAATATATTGAGAAATAAAAGATGAATGGCTTCTTTCTCTTTCTCTTTTTCTTTCCTAAACCCAAACTTAATGGAACTCGGTTTGCGCACGTAGAGCTTCAGTACTCCCAGTAGTTCCGAATTCCTCACAGAACTCAGGCGCAGCCTATTCGCACCCGTTCTTCGTACTTATTTCCAAATTGCTTATGTACCGCAGTACATGTAGGTGTTGCGATGCAATAACTTTATATTGTGTTAAGTAAAAAAAAAATATATTTAAAATCGAACACTTTTACAATTATAAGACCTTTACTGAAGGTTTAGAGTACAAAGAATCTGAATATGCAATTAATTGTTTAACAAAAATAGCTGCTAGTGTGCGCTTTGGTACAACAAACATGAAGATGAATTGCCGCTATGTGCGCTTCGGTAACAAAAAAAAAATATAGAATTTGTTCCAAAGCGCACTCAAGCGGTAATTTTTGTTAAAAATAAATTGCATATTCAGATTTTGACATTTTGATGGTAAAAATATTAGCTTTTAAATTAATTTTAAAATTGAAGTTCACTAACCTGGGAAAACTGAGAAATTACTGTTTTACCAGCTTTTATTTAATTTGCTCTGTTTGTATGTACGTTTGTTAGGGGCAAATCTCGCAATCAATTTTTAACTAACTTCCCGATGACCTAGTGACTTGAAACTTCACAGTTGGCTCAGAACCCAAGAACAATGCAACATGAAAGTTCAGTTAATCCGATAGGTGGCGCAGGAGTCGAGATATTTGAAAACCCCATATTTATGTGTAGTCCGATTTGGTTCATATTTAAAACGTATATTATATACATGAAAAGAATTAACTTAATGATATATTTGGTATTATATAGTATTTATCGTCCAATTTCGTTCATATTTAAAATCTTGCTTTAGAAATATTCGTTTTTACTATTCACTTATTTTTCTACAACCCAGACTTTCATAAAATCGTTTTTTCACCAATTCCACAGCCGACTGCTGAATATTGGAATAAATATCGGACTGAGCGCTAAAAAGGGAGTTACACCAATTAGGGCGTAGGTGACGGCTGCTTGTCAGGCGGCCACCTCTACATGAAGAAGGCTGTAAATTTGCCGAAAAGTTCTTGTCAGAACCCAACCCACTTCAGCTTTGCTAGTCGACATTTTCGAAGAAGGTATTTCGAGTGTCAGTAAGCTGAGTTGGAAGGAACCTAGGGTCCTTAAACGGGTTAGCTAAGAATAATGCTTTTTTTTAAGAATATCTACAGTATCTAAGTGCAGCTTAAAATGGTTAAATTTCACCACCGAATCCCAAAATTTTGAGTACCAGTGGTGAAAGAAACTCCTTCGAATTAGCAGAAATGTATGTATAAAATGTGTTCACACATATAATATATAATTTCTGTTGTAATAAGATTTAGCACACCTGAAAGTGGACTAATACCCAAGTGAGTGCCACCAGCGGCAAATGAGTCTAATAAAACAATCAACCTGATTGCCAGCAATGGTCATAGAAAGGCAAGCGCACAACAATGAAAAAAGGCATTGGTAGAGGCAACAAAGACAAAACGTGAACAATAGCAACAATAGCAAAAGTCAAAACAATAACAACAATAAATAGTCGAATACAGAGCCCAATAGAGCCTGGAATGAAATGCTAATGAGTATTCGTGTCAATGCTTTAATGGTGAGTAGCGCAGCAACGAGAATTCAAGTACTACTTGTTTGCATATTCTGAATACACACCTCGCACAATCGCTGGGGCACTGCGGGCACATATCATCAACTTAAGTAGGCCACATTGTGACTTCTGCGTGAATGCATGAATGCGTAAATGCTTGACTGGACATGGCAGCAGGCGTTAGCGCTGGGTGGCCGTCAGCAATCAGTCACATTGTCGGATGTTGTGGATATTGTTGTAGTGGTTGTTGTTGTTGTTGTTACTGTATCTGTGCCATTGCACAGGCATTAATAAAACATTACATGGTAGCAGCAGTGATGCACACTAATACATGCAAGCATAAATGCTTCGATATAAGCATTCACTTATCGTTGCTGCATACTTCGAGGCGCTTAGCAATGGTGTGGCGAGTAACTAGGTATCTTGGGCAAGTTAGTGAATTGATGCGGCGTCTTTGCTTTGACTACATTGCTGGTACCAGCTGCTGTTTACCACTGCTGTCCCTGCCTCGCTGTTGCTGTTATTGAAGGGATGAATCAAACGTAGGCCGCTTGTGGCAACATGTGTGATGTGAAATGTCAAAAATCACTAGCTGTGAATGCGCTTTCCACGATGTTGAGTAGCTTGATTGCAGCAAGTCGCACTACAAATATCCACACAAGCACACGCAATAGCCTAACTCGCCCCCCTAAAGGCCTGTCATACATCGGAAACAACGGGAAAATGAGCAGTGACATCAATTGTCGTCGTCGGCGTCGCGCTGCGATAGCCTCATTATTCAGTCCAGCTTAAAGGCGGCTACCCAGAGTTAGTGAGTGTCTCAACCATTGACTATAGTGCAGGTGTGTTGGTGGCAAACAGCCCCTTAGCCAGCTCGTGATTAATAGCAGCGGCTGCTTTTACCGCTAGCTACATATGTATGTATCTTGATTTTCGTGTCGAAAAGCTGCGCAAAAATATTCACGTTCTATATATCCAACTCGGCGAACATCAGCTCCATTTGCTAAGCCTTTTCCCTAGAGTGATTCAGTGGAAAAAATGATGCCACATTAATTTGCACGCAAGTTTTAATTGAAGTGCGCGTAGCTGGCACTCAAGTGTGTTTTATTGATGTCAATTTCTCTGCTAATGTTCGCTCTTCTTCTATGCTTATATGGCTTCAATTTCACCGGTATTGCATTTGCTGTAAGTGGTATTTACGCTATACCACCTTCATTAGCGTCTAAGCGTGGTTCGGTTGCACTTAGCGATGGCATTTAGAAGTCTTCGAATGGCTGGGAGGCAAAAGCGTCAACGTACTGTTTACGTTGGCTTTGGAGAAAGTTGATTTTTAGAAGCCCCTTTTGCGCTAACTGAAATGGTAAAATTAAGGCTACAGCTTTGTACTTTCTCATACAGCGAGCTGAGTGGGCGAGTACACACAGTAAGCTCTCAGTGCATAAAGCTAGCGCTTACAAGCATTCCTCTGCTCATACAGTCAGCTAACGGCACGTATAGCCAGATACATATTTTCGTTCACCAACCGTACATTTCTGTACTTCTTTACCGGTCTGTGCAGCCAATTGCTTAAAATATCGCACAAGACATCATTAGATAAGTTGGGAGGGTGCCACCGCCCTTGTGAACTCGGGTACAAAGCTGTGGCGGTGTTTGAAATACAGAATTTTATTTAGTAGGGGAAGTACGTACAATCTCAATCTTAGACCATCTTAGACCAAACCCATCTTATAACTTAACTTGTCTAAGTATCAGAATGATTCCTCCTTGGAAGAAAATTTTAAATTTAAAGGTGATGATAATTGGCATAATGATATCCACATAAACATTTATTAGCCATTTGAGAAGTACATGAATGTTTCTTTCTAAATAGGAGTTTGATTTAGCAAATTTTATTACATACTTCCAGGCTAACTGTTGATTTGAAACATAGCTAAACATACGCCTTTAATGTCTTATTACAACATGTGTCACCCTACTGAATGACCCTCTGAACTTTTCTCATACGAGAATTCTTCCATCAGCGATTGTTTGCTAAAGTTCTACGAAAATAAATTCATAAATGAATTCAAACGCTTATATTATTTAAACAAATTTTTGTTACAATTATGGCAAATTACAGGCTATTTTGCGCCACAACTATGAAAGTTTCAAATGATAAATGTTAATAGCAAATGGTCAATAGGAAATGAAAGGAAATCAGAAGCAAACACTGAAAATATCCAGTTTTTATTATTGCTGTTGCTGTAAATTTTCTTGAAGAAATAAATATGCGAGCATTTTTTTCTTCAGAGTTGTATACTGATTTAAGAAGTTTTGATAGAAGAGAACTTTTTTTCATCCATAACTTTATCACGAAGAACGATGCTTCATCTGAATATGAAAGCTTCATAAATACGAAAAAATTTCGAAAACCTTAAAAATCGTAAAGTAAGAGAGTAAAACAGTAGAAATGAAAGTTGCGGCTTGATGAATAATAAAAGCTTTGTCGGTTCTTAAAAAATTTCACACTTAAAGGCATGTGAAATTTTCATTGAATACTAAAGCTCAGTCGAAAGTGAAAGTTTAAGAAGTATACAAAAAGGTATTAAAAAGTACTAAATATTGAAACTAGGGATTTATCTTGACTATGAAGGATTTAGCAGAAACTGAGATTTCAAATTACGTGAATTTTTTGTAGTCTACTAAAGCTCAAGTGGAAACGAAAGCTTCGTCAGCATACGAATATATCGGATTTTAATCATATATACCACATATGACGTTATTACGTCCAATAAGCGAAAGTTTCGCAAGGTACAGTTACCTTAATGGCTATGAAAGATTTGTAGATCAAGCTCAAAATCTTTAAAAAGCTTTACAGAACTATAAAAAAATTTAAAAAAGTTAAAACTTCAGGTGCAAGGAAAAAGTATTAGTAAACTCTTAAGATTCAATGGTGAAGATTTGATCCTACTAAAAGAAAGCGAGAAGAAATCTTCTATAGGTTTAAATCTCTTCAAAGGATGCATACTCTTTAACGCCTATGAAAGCCTTAGAGATC